GCAGGCCTGAACCAATTTAGGGAAAGACTGAACAAGTTTAGATCCCTCGCTGGTAAATAAGAAACAAGATTAGCTCTAGGGGAAACATGAGCCCACATAGGATGAAGTTCCCCCTGTTTCTTTCTGTTTAGAAGTTTTCAACTTGGCCTCTTCAGAATGTTGATAACCGACTGTAGATTCTACAGTAGCGAGGATATTGTACTCAGGATTAAGTAGATCCAACCAGAATTGGTCACTGCCGTACTCTTGTTATTATCCTTACCTATCCTATTGGGGTTTAATTTGGTTCATAGCGACGCGGATGTGTTTTCATAATCATAATGGGGGGAATTGGCCCTCGGTTGTGCGTATTTTTCTCACCATTGGTGCAGCGATGAGAGCTCTCATCGCTGCACAGAGACGAGGTATGGGTTCTCGTAGGCAATGGGTGGGAACTCTACTCTATTTTTGATTATGGGCGTATCTCGGACGCAAAGTATCTTCTTCTAGTTACACATCCAGATTGGCCTGCTAGAGCTAGAGCTAGAGATGGGGAGATAACTATAAGAACCAATGAGCTTCTCACGCATGCTCACGACGTTTTGGTTTTCTTAGAGGTAATCTCATTTTCATTGCAATCCTGCCCCCCTGGGCTTCCCTGGTTAGTTGCCTTTTGTTTTTGAGTTCATATTGGTCCTTCCCGACCCGACCCGACCCGACCCGACCCGAGCCATTCTCTTTCTTTCTTTTCCTACGCGCATCTTGGTACGCCCTTGAAAGCCTTTGATCTGATCCTCTCTGGGTTCTAACCCATTTGGTCACTTTGTGATATTCCCCCCTAACTTCCTTTCCCCGCTAGCCGAGGCTAATTTCCAAGTAAGTAAAAGGAGGTAGAAACAAGAGATATGGATTAAGGGAGAATTGGGTGGTTATACTTGGGCGGGGGGCCCGCTAAACTCGCGACTATTATTACCTTAGATCCTCATTTGCCTTATCTGCTAAGATAGTGACGTTTGACCTGGAAAGCTTCACCCTGCCTAATGCTACCCAGCAGGGTATTCTTGTGCCTTATGTTCAGCCTCTGAGATTTAAGGGTGACAGCTTCCTATCTGTTTATCTTCTAGGGGGGGGCCCCTAATTTGCTTCCTGTGATAATCTAGCCGATTGATATAGCCGTGATGGCATTCACTCTTTTGCTGAGCCCTCTCTTGGTGTTAAGCTTGATTGGCTGGCGCCTTAACCTATTCTCTCAAGGAGTATCCTTAATTTCCCGTTTTAAAGTAACCTTGATACCTCGGCGGTAATTGGTGCCTGCT